CTAAATTACTACCGCTCGACCTGGAAAGACGGAAACTTTCCCGCGGAATTACCGTCTTTCCACGGTTCCTTTTCTATAGACCGTGGTTCAGAAGTACTCGACACGCTTTTTCAACGGCAATTTCACCTTGCCTTTACAAAGGAGCCTTTATATCCAGGTGCATCGTAATGTTGTCTTCGAGACAAACCTCGTTCCTACCTGTAAGTATACTTGTTGTATATGTATACATGAATTCCGTTTATTTAGAAAAGGTATCGACATCCTAGATATCCGGCGATACATTTTAGAGTATGAAAAGCACTGCGCCGCGTCGTGTGTAATATCTAACCGAGTAATTTTGCATGTTTTGAAAATAAAAATGACGTCCTCTGAACTAACGCTTCGAAAAGGGTGAGCCATTTTTTCACGTCGTAGGAAATCACTAAATATATTGTATCACTTAAATTTTGTAGATTAGTTGCTTGAGTAATTAATTGCGATAAAGTTTCATTTTTGATATAGATAAACAATTAAACCCGTTCGACATTTATGTAAAGCATGGTCGTCATAAGAAGATGGCATTATTTAATAAAAAGGAGCAAGAGCTGTTTTATTTTCATTTTGACGATGAAATAATTAGAACATGAACGTCTGACGAAGATAACTGGAAAATTTTGTCATTTTGTTAGACATAATAGGCATAGTTTAAAAATAATTAGATAGACAAGTGCACAGTTAAAGTTTGATTTAAAAATGAAATACAACATGAGGGTTATAATTAAAATATCTTGATCCTCGATTTCCAAAAGAAAAAATGATAGCGAAGAGAAGGGAATTGTGTATATTTCTCCAATAAAGAAAGAAAAAGAAGGATGTCCCGCGTGTTCCCTCAAATCTGAGAATCCTCCCCGCTGTAGAATCAAATCCTATACAATCCCGATATTTCCTGGATCGGTTTGCCTTTCGCGACTTTGTCTTTGAAAGCGAACGACGTACCTGACTGGTACGCGTATTTATGAAACAGGCAGAGTGTGCATGCGCGCGTACACATGTTCGAAGTTTGTTCCCTTCGAAGCGTTCGTCGAGAAATGGTATGAGGAATGGTCGAATTATGCGACATATTGCAGGACCCACGCACTCCCTCGGCGTCGCGCACCCGCGCATGAGAAAAAGCTTTTCCATCGACGAGGGAATTGTTTCGACTATGAGCTCCCTATGTCGCCTCTCTTTCATTTGTTCTTTTCTTTCTTTTTCCGTACGTAAAAACGACAGCATCGAGTATTACCGTAATTATGTATGTATAACTCCAAGTCAAACTAGTATAGTAAAAAAAAAAGAATAATAATACAAATTTTCTTAAACCTGCAGCAAATCTAATTTATTGAAAAGTTGGATTCCATTCACCAGATAGTTTCTGAGATATCGCCAAAAGTTCACTATTTCTCTCGACATTTAACATTTCGTTTATGGTTATTCACAATCAACGCATGCACTTATCCATTGTAAAAAATGTAAAATAAACATTGAAATTTAATTTTAAATACACTTAATTGAATAGATATATATATCATACTTTAGTCCAAATGACAATGACTCTACAGTGGCCATTGTGAATCTTATTTCTATCACTTTATCACGTTGGACTGAGAGCAAACTGATTTTCCTTTTACAATAAAAACGGTTGAAAGGAGAAGATCGATTACGCCCAATAAAGAGAGCCCGAGAATACGTACGAATCAATCACCGGGCTAGTTGCTGGATTAAGTTTCGTAATGCTCTCGTATCACCTGTATCGATCGCAGGCGAACGCGTGTACGACACAATTCTCAACGGACCGAACCCAAGCAAGCAATTTCAGATGTCCAAGATTACGCGTCAGTACGTTTGCCAATTTCAGATTCATACCCCCTTCCTATTTACTTCCGGGGAAAATCCATTTGTTTATTGAAAACGTGACTTTCTAATTTGTTTAAAATAAAGAATCCATGACACATCGTTGGCTCAGTGGAGTTAAGTTCTTATTTATTCATTCCTTATTACTAAATACTATTTTTTGGATAAAAAATTGTTCATGAAACGGAAGAGTATTGAGCTAATTCAACTGACTTAATTATTTGAAACATCAAAACGTTGAATTAATGTTTCATTATTCTTGTAGCCTTGATTTATTACCGAATAGTTTTTTCCTATTCCTTCAGATTAAACATAAAATATGCTGTAAGCGAACATATCATGTGAGAAAGCTATTTATTAAGGCATACAAATCGCGTTTTAGCTAGACCTTGTGCAGAATGGAAGAAATGTTTCGGAAACTGGTTCGAGTGAATGCAGAAATATCTACAGAAATATGAAAAGAGAAAATGTCGAGGAGCAATAAACTTACTAATCTAAATTCTTTTACGTTCCTCTTCATACTTTACCAAAACTTTTGAAATTTCATAGTAGAATAAAAGAGTTTGCGTAGATTTTCGTTCTCTTCTGCTGTAATGATTTTTGATTCCGACTGGGTTAATATGCTGACGACGTCACAATTCTTAATCTCGCATCCAAGATCTCCTAAGACAGTCACGTCCGATGTTATCTCCGCCTCTGCGATCAGTACTAGGTCTTCATACTTTCTCATTTTTCATTTTTTATGTATTACCATTTGGAACGGACACATTCAAAAGCAATTGACATATGTACAATTGAAATGTGATCAAATAAACCGTATATTTTGTAATTTTTGCAAAAGCTATATAATATTTTTCTTTCAACTGTTCAATTTTCAACATATTGTCACTATACATACTTAATAAATTTATAATTAATCAAACTGAAGATATGTTCAAGGTAGATTTTTAAAATAAAGAAATTTTATACAGTTATTTTGGTATTTTTTCACGTAGAAATATCCAGTTACACCACTAATTATCGACTACTCTGTACATCTGTCAGCAACGGTAGAGTACGGAGAATCAATAAGAATATCAATAAGAATTATTACCTAAAATAGCTTAGTATTTATTAAACCTTTCAAAAAACCTTAAGAGAATAGATAAAATTTTATTAAAATGTACTTAAAAATTTACAGCAGAATTAATTAGTTTATATAACTATTCTTATTGACTCACTTTGCATCTCATTAAATTGTTCTGTGAGGCCGGGGGGATCGCAAGTAAGATGTGGCGAAATTATTGTGTTAGGGTGTGACGCGCGTGCGAATAAAGAAGGTCGATCTCGCTGCCGGCTATACGATTTAGATAACACTTCTGAAATATCGAGAACGTTGGACATTTTTCATTGTCTGCCACTCGGCGATACGTCACAAAAGGCTTTCGATCGCGAAGTCTTTGTACAAAAAAAAAATGGGGTAGCCGGAGAAACTCGCGTGACCAAACTACAAAATTGTCAGAAAGTTCCCGAGCGAGAGTTATTAGTATCCTTCGATGATCGAAGCACACGATACGCAGGATTTTAACCAACTACTGTGATCAATCGAAACAATAACACAAAATAGTGACATAAATCACATCGGACATTTGTAGTTCGATACAGAAATGTCACAAGATATTTATAAAACTTCTACGATGGAGACAGCGAAAAACAATTGACCGGACTTATGCGCGTGACATCGTGTCACGTAGATTTAGCAATTTTTATGTATTTAAGCAGCCAAAGTTTGACGACGGAACACGGATGGTGTGACCACAGGAGATGCGCTGAATATTAAATTCAATTTGTTTCCTTCGTAGACACCGCGAAGCGACATGTGTTTCCATTTCGCGAATTTACATAAATGACTTATGGTCAACGAGTATTACCCTCCACGGCGGGATGGCCTGCTCGGATATCTTTGATGTGACGTTCGCACAGGGATTCAAATGAGGGATGGTCGTTATGAGGCTGGGTGTAGAATATCATACGCGCGTATTTGGTTTCTTGCCACGCACACGCGTGTAACGCGGCCGGGTGTTTTCATTACGACCTCAAATTAGAAAATTCTAGACTGCACGAAATTTTAGGAAGCTCGTCGTTTCCTCATGATCTTTTTATGTACACGCCACAATTTTGCAAGTATGCTGAAAACTTTCCCAGGTATTCTATTAAAGTCTAGCTGCCGAGGTAACAAATATTCAAACCACGTGCTGAAGCAACAGGAGTAGCGAGAAGGAACGCGACTCATGAAACATAATCCCAGATTTCCTATAAAGATTATCAACGCTGACCATCAGGATCAAAAGGGGAGGACCAAAATGGAAGCTGCGGAACGAGGAAGGCTGCGATTACAATTTTTCATTCATAATTAATTGTCACCAGCTATCTACCGAACAAGTAATCAAAGTAGAAGCAGAAATTCATCATCCGACGTGCTGTCGTCCTAAAACTGACGTCCGTGTAGCCGCTGTAATTAATTTCATCAATTGCGTAAACCAGGATTTTGATAATCGTGATAGATAACAACCTGAAGGTGTGCATCCATTTGTATCGTGTCCGCGTATCGTATTATCGTTGCGTACCATAGTGACGTATCATCGTTACATACGTGTTATACATCATCGTTCATAAATCTTATGTCATGTTGTGAAGCATACAGAGTACATCCATTTACAATAACAAAACTCATTGATCGCATAAAAAAAAACTTAGAAAAATGAATTGCAATTTGCTAAAATACATGAATGCTTTGACAGGTCATACCAGTGTGAAATTTAAAAAAATCGACCTATTTTGCATTTTTTGAAAGTGTATACCTTCAGAGTGCGCCACTTATTGGCCATACAAAATGGCTAAAGATCTTAGATACTCCTTTCGCTTTCAGTCACAAATTCTGGCAACAGTGCACCGTCCATAGTGCGCAGCTTCATGCATAAGCGTCTATCGAAAAAAACATTAGGAATTCCTAATTTTTCTGGTTCCTTTCCCCTCACAGTGTGGTAATAAATGCGTAGGTTACGACGTTCAGCGCATAATAACGAGGGCAACGACGACGACTCCCCTTCGTCGATTTGATTTTGCGCGGCGCGAGTCGTCCGGTCGTCGCGGAGCGCGAAACATTCTCGCGTGTCTCTGTCGTGAAAATGGTCCCCTATCAGAGGCAGGCTTTATCAGATAAAGTTGCGCTATCGGTCTTGGCAAATAAGGGAACGCTGACAGTTGGACGGTGACACACAGTGCTGGTTGTTACGGAGACGTACGTGCCGCGACGGCTATTTTTTTTCCTCTCCCTCTGCGCCGCGCGTCCGTAATTTCAGTTTCGCCCATCATCGCTTTTGCAAGGACGAGAACAACCAGCCAAGTGAGTAAATTCAACGCGATCGATTGTTACATACACGTATACGTGTATACAAGGGGGTATGTATGAGACTGATACAAGTGTATCACTATGTGAATAAATAAACATCAGAAGATGTAAGCCTTGCTAAAAACGAAAACAATTCAATCGATGAGCTGAAATTACATGTACAAGTCTGAAGTTTGGGAAAATATTATGCTATATTATAGTCGTATACCTAAATTTATTTTATATCATCGACTCTTTGTATTATACGTACAATGACTAAAATGTGAATGTCTGAAGATATCTTGACTGATAATCGAGCCAACTGATTAAATATTTCACTTATCTAACCTGAACGGTATCTGTCTTTCATTCCTCTTATCATTACCTTATCAGTAGCAGTGGATTATAATATATAAATTGTTCAGATAAATTTGGCAATTGTTAATTTTATTGGTGGTTATAGAATTAAAAAATTGTTTTAACTAGATCATGGACAGTCTTTACCCGAATCTACAAGCGAGATTCAAAAGCGAGGGCCTAGGTATGTATGAGACTGATACAAGTGTATCACTATGTGAATAAATAAACATCAGAAGATGTAAGCCTTGCTAAAAACGAAAACAATTCAATCGATGAGCTGAAATTACATGTACAAGTCTGAAGTTTGGGAAAATATTATGCTATATTATAGTCGTATACCTAAATTTATTTTATATCATCGACTCTTTGTATTATACGTACAATGACTAAAATGTGAATGTCTGAAGATATCTTGACTGATAATCGAGCCAACTGATTAAATATTTCACTTATCTAACCTGAACGGTATCTGTCTTTCATTCCTCTTATCATTACCTTATCAGTAGCAGTGGATTATAATATATAAATTGTTCAGATAAATTTGGCAATTGTTAATTTTATTGGTGGTTATAGAATTAAAAAATTGTTTTAACTAGATCATGGACAGTCTTTACCCGAATCTGCAAGCGAGATTCAAAAGCGAGGGCCTCTGCCCGATTTGTTTAATGGAGATGGAACTAGCACCCAGATACGTCTGCATCAATCAACATACAATTTGCCATCGCTGCAAGCCTTATTACTACAACTGCCCCTCGTGTCACTCGCCGTTGGAGATGCAAATGCCATCTCCAAATACATCTTACGTGCCACCGCCGCCAATCCACTTCCTGCCTCATTCTCTACCAACGAAATTCCACGGTCCAACGGCGCCGCCGATGGATGAGTTTCAAGCGCACGAAAGAGGCTGGCGCCCACCTACGCCCACTGAGAATCAGGAGCTGAGAGCTTGCAGATACGCGCATCTTGGATGCTGGGTGAAAGTGCCAATACGCTTGGCAGATCTACACGAATCTCGGTAACAGTGTAGCGGTTATTATGAAAGTGGTGCAAGATAAAAAAAAAGAAAAGAATAGACATTTTCGTTTGTATTATGTCACATAAATTTATAATTAAATGTTAAAGATGAATTTTTATTAATACAATCTTTTTGGCGTACCATTTTCATAACAACCGGCAAAATATTCGGCATACATACCGGCAATAATCTATATACATCCTATATGCACATTTGTATACTAGGATCTGCAATATCGATGTGAAGGATAATAAGATTAGTCGATGTAATATGTTACAGCTAACTTTAATATTTGAAATCCCTCAAATTCAGTACATGATTGAAAAATATTATATAAAAATAAAATATACAAATATAAAAAGAAAATGTGGATGCAGTTATCGTCATCTGTGCAATAATTAGAAAATTATTGAAAACTATCATATTATTCTGAATCATCTGCCTACAGAATATTATCGAATTGTGTTCAACGTTTGCTCCCACACGTTTCAGATGTCAATTCCGACCTCACTTGGAGGAAGAAAATCTACCCACGGACATGGCGCATAAACATGACGACTTGGTCGAGTGCACCTATCGCGTGGTCGGTTGCAAGGTAAAAACGTCACCGTGGAGAATTTCGATTCACGAACAACACTGTATTTACAAAGATCGTTTCAACGAGAGGAACATCAGTGACTCGTTAAGAAAGACCACGATCTCCTCTAATGACGACTTTGGTGATCCTAAGGAACTAGTCGAATGTAAATATAGAAAATATGGTTGCATGGTAAACATGCCGAGAAGACTGAAATTAATGCACCAAGAGAAATGCAACTATCGGGAGTACCACGACGGGCGCCACGATTCCTCGTCCGAGTACGACCCGGACCAACAAGTTCCATGTAAATGGACTGAATACGGTTGCAGAGTGAAACCGAAACGCAGTCTTTTGGAAATACACGTGGAAAAGTGCAATTACAGGATGGAGAACTGCGCTTACAGGAATTACGGGTGCACTGCCATTATCCACCCGGCTGCGAAATACGCTCACGAAAGAAATTGCGAATTTGCTAATTAAACGTTTCGCGAAGAAGGCACGATTGTTTTATTATTGTCAATAATACTGGTTTATTAATTAAATTATTACTACTATTAAAATTTCATTGTTTTTTTGACACGTAAGATTTGAAAAGAATTTGTACTCGATTTATATGTCCAATATGTACAAGTTTTTCTGTTTGACGTGCAGATGAATATTTAGTAACTGCTGTAAGAACATATGAGGTCTCTGAACTATTTTGCTTATGAGGTATCCCGTTTCAATCAGCATATTAGAATCTTACTTTTTTAATATCGATTTTCAATGTTCAAAGTATCCTGACGAAATCGCTCACTATGTTTATCACTTACGGTAGACAAATTTTTGTAGGAAAACTCGAAATGAGAATCCAGTATGTGGATCATCAACAATGTGTTGGAGTACATATCTTTATATAAGAAATCAATAGTTCATGCACTTACTCATAGTTTTTGCTTTCATATTCTTTACAAAAAGTTGTACAACATTTGTGCAAAAATTCAATGCTTGTCTTTCAATTGAATTTTACCTTCATATCTAAATTAAATTCAAGCTATATTCTATTATATTATGTAGGGCCAGATAGATGTAGACCGAATTTAACTATTATTAAATAATACATAGCAACGTCACAAAATACTATATAATTGAATTGCAAATTCGAAATGAAAAAAAATATTTAAGTATCGGTTGTAAATATTCTTTGCGACAAAGATCATGTTTACCATTAACAGTAAATCAAAGAATTCCAGGTACATTTTCTTATACTTGCAGAGCGCGTTTCGTAATAAGTGGCGAAGCGTTCTTAATCTTCTTGGCGCATAATGGGAAGACGTATAAGATGCCTCCCTCCCGAATATCGATTCGCATCTAGCTATGCACCACGTCGAAAGATAGCTGAAACGTATTCAATACCACGCTATTAATTACGTTACTATCAATTAGCTTAGCTTAACCAAGGAGTATTCAGCCCACGTGAGAGTGGCTTACGTTCAAGCAAACAAAGAATCGAATCACAATTATCTATACAGAATATATAAAAATACATGTAAATAAATATTGGATTAAACAACTGTATTAATGCTGTTCCAAATATTGGGTAAAAGAATATAGATGGCCTTCTTTCGTATCGACTCGTTTTGTCAATGAACGAACTTAATCTTCAATTTAATTGGTCCTCATCAACCTCAACGCAAATCACATTTACCATTTACAATACATGTCGGTTATCATAAAAATGACATAATATAAGCCAACAAAGAGGATTATGATTTCCATTTGTATCACGTCACAACAATTAATATTTAGATATAACAAACAATTTTTGTTAACATACACATTTATCATGAAGTAGAACTCTTTTTGTTTCTCAAAATGTATTCACAAGAAAATTGATGAATCTCTTGCTGTCTGCCATTCCTAGGAACTTTACAGATTATACGAGGATTATTCACTCCCTAACTCGGCTTTAGTCTATCCTTCATCGATGTGTTCCTCTCGGTTGTATCGCGAATGCGATAGTGAAACTTACGCTGCTATTCGGGGGATGATCTGGGGCATGATCGCCCGGAACGAGGGATACAGTGGCGTGGCTGAGATATCGGACACCTGGAGGCTAATGGTGTGCAGCCTCCCTAACCGTTTTACGCTGTTTGCAACGCCTACAAGGACGTTTATAGCGAGCATTTATAAAGGGCGATGAAAAAAGCTTAGGAAGTGAAGTCTTGAACGAGCAGCCCCGCGTCGTTGAAAAACGCTTCTTCGGACGCTCCACAACCAGGAACGGCGTTAAAATAATAAATTGCGCCGGGTACGCTTACATTCGCGTTTTGCCGTGCAGGTTAACAGGTTGCTCGTCAGCATGCCAACAAGAGAAAATTGAATCTTCAAGTAGAACGATGAGAACAGTTGTTGAGAAAAAGATCGATGCAAGAAGAAGTATCAAGACTTTAAGTCTATATTTTTTTAAACATAGCGTATGCATACGTAATTCGCTGGGTTGAAGTATAACGTATATATCTGAATTAATATTGTACACTTGACTATCTAATATAAAAGGGAAACGCGTATTGCTTGAATAATTCAAGAAAAAATGCGTCGAAGACTAAATCTCAAAAGAACTTAAGGTGGCGGATACTACATAAATATCGAATGAAATAGAGAAGGATAAACTCTTGTCCGTCCACGGTTCACAAGAATTGTCGACATCTCAGTCAAAACTTTGATGATCAAACCTGACCCGGCCGATAGACAAAAGGGAGTAGAAGCTATTTTGCATAGTAAAGACCAAGGAGACTACCTGCCACCGCGACTCAACCAGATTTTTAAAGAGGATAGTCGCTTTTAAAGGTAAAGAGACTCTACCTCACAACCGAAGGCGAAACAGCGTCTTAGTTCCTTCACACGTTATTTATATAATTTTTCACCATTGTCATGTATATTCAAAATGTTGATATTAAAATAAAATCATTTAGAAGTTAAATAGTGAATTTATAAATTGTGGACTTATGTGCAAAATAAAACAGTTGTAATGTAAAATGGAGTAATGATATATAGTATTATTGATGTACTGCACAATTACATACATTCCTTGTCTTTCCTGCATATGCATACGAAATATTTATTTAATCCCGTATCAAGCACTTAATTTAAACAATTTGTCATTTGCTTTTACATATCGCTAAATGATTAAATATTTTCATTATCTCAAATGTATTAAACATTATAAACACTATTTAAAAGTCATTGTTAAAAACAAGAAACAGTAAAGTCTATCATTTAATGATTCATTTAAATATAGTCCTCCTGTAAAGTAATCGAGTAATAGTCATAAGAATTGTGTAATATGATAAACTATATTTTATCAAAACAAATTAAATAGAAAAAGATATTTAACAGTGCCATTTTCTTTTGAACACAGAGATCGTTAAAGCTGATTTTAGTTTACTACAAATCTTGTTGACATCATTTAATTTTACATTCGATTCAGAATAGTGAACGACTGATAAATAGATATTTCTCATTTTGAAAATTTATAGTTTGAGAAAGAAAACGACGTTTCACATGCATCAATGTAATAATTTCTGTATCAATACATAAAAACCGTAACCTAAGATCAATTTAATTTTCTAGAAACTTGGAAAATGCACCTAAAAAATACTACCAGATGAAATTAATTTGATCAACTCCTCTGATTCAATATCGAAATCTGTAACAACTTTATTGAAAGTATAAATAAATCAGAGTGGAACGGTGAAAAGTGAAATCAGTAGCCGTATTCAAGAATCTGGAAAAGGAAAGATGGATCTACCGACCTGAACGGGGTTCGCCGCTAGTGGTCGGGGTGGGAAAGGGTGACGCAAGGGGCGCGAGTAAATTGCACCCCTGAGGAACAGATCTGACGAGTGGCACGAAGGGCCACGGCAAGTCAGAAATCAGCCGACTTTAATTAAGACGCGAATGTCTTTTGCTCATAGTTACACCCATCTTTTCAGAGGAAATCATACAACGCGACGAGATGTGTTTATTACAGTAAAATAAAAATAACAAGGTCTCCCTGTTTCGTAAACAATAGTCAAATATTTGAGATATTGATTGGAAATCGTCGTTTTTACAGATTAATAGCTTATGCAATTATTCATAACTTCAAGAGAGGGTCTTCGAGCGCGACGTATGATATAAAAATATATACATATATCTTTTCCCCTAAAAAAATGCTAATGTTTCCGCGCCTAAAGTGAATTTAACGACGGGCGAGGAATTGTCATAGGAAATCCAGACACAATATCTCAGCCGCAATCGCCCGTCGTCTGACCCAAGAATCGACTTAATGCATGTATTCATGCGATAAGCTCGTACTTTGAATCAGAAGCAAAGACGCGAGAATACGTGTCGCAAGAGATTTCGACAAGGAGAGAACCCTTCTTGACAAACCCTTCTTGACTCGTCAGATATCTTACTAGTTATTTCCTTTAAATACTCTTCAAATATCCGCAAATCCTTTCTGTAAAAGCACGATACCCTGCTGCGTTAAGCTTGTCTCCGTGAAAGCCCTTATGAAAACCATTTAGAAAGACGCTTTCTCTGGCGTCGACAATATTGACGTTTTATTAAGTCAAAGTAAACTAGAAAATTGGATACTGTAGCGAAAATTATGAACTTTTTAATTGAAACGAATCTGAATAATAGCCATCTTGTGAAAAAGCTCTTATGTATTGAATTTTTATAATAAAACCTCTTGATTTAAGACGGTTATGATGTTAAATTAATATATACATATAGACTACTAATCATGTAGAGAAGTCGATAAGAAAATAAGCAAAAGTAAAAATAGCACCAGTTTAACAGTCTAATATATCTAATGTATGATTTCGTTTAAGCCTCCTACGGTAAAGCTGTATTAAAATTATTATTAATTGGAACATATTCACGTTTACGCAATATATTTCACTTTCCCTTCGGAGCATTATCATTCTCCAAATACCTTTAAATAAACGCGATTTAAAGCCAGCTAAGAATCTCAATTTACGACGTTCTCCATGGGCAAATTAATTTTCTACATATTGAGACATTCAAAGCCCTCGTGCACCGCAGCAATTGATATTAATAAACGCTACGTTCCCACGTGAATTACCTGCTCGTTCCGTAATACAGTCCACCCGTACATCTGTATCCCCGCACGATTCCATAGTTACCATTATCTATGTCTCGCCGACCAGCTATCGATCACTGAGCATTGATCACGAAAAGCCTAAGCCCTGTCTGTAAACTATACACGGCCGAAGAAGCCAGGCGTACGACGGCCAGAAGTTCGGAGCCATAATTTTCTCACATAAATACATCTGTAGGTAAAACGGAGCCGAGGCTCAGGTCAGTCGAGAAGATCTGGAGCTCACACGCGAACTCCATAATTCACCGTGGTATGGCATAGCGTTCCTCTTGATGCTGTACCGTGGACGAGGGAAGCCAGCCAGTCGTATCTCAATTTTGTCAGGATATAACTATCAGCAGTTTCGGTAACGAGAAAATCCACGCCGGCACGGGATCCTACAAACAGGGTTT